CACACGCCTTGAGAGCCACCACGAAGGTGCGCGAGTCAGGGACGCAGCTAAATGTCCGCGACTGCATAGCGGAGAAGAGTTCCAAGGCCTGTTCCTCCAAGCTGTTCTCCGCATAACCCAGCATGAGAGCAGTCCATGCCACGGCGTTGCAAAGTGGCATTCTGTCAAACACGCTGCGAGCGTCCACCAGGCTTCCACATTTGCAGTACATGTTGATGAGAGTTGTCGCTGCGTAGATGTTGGAGCTCTCTCCAGTTGCTACAGCTCGGGCATGGATTTTCCTACCTCTGTCCAAGTCCTTAGAGCTGCTGCAAGCCTTCAATTCGGACACCAGAATGAAAATCCTCTTGGCTTTTTCCAGTCTCTCGAGCGTGCGCTGTTGGGAGCTCCTTACGTCTGGACTGGAAATCCTCTGCATTCCTAAGCTACAAAACCCTATCAAACCCTCAGTAGAACAAAAAGAAAAAGAGCTCAAATTTCGTCAAACCGTGACCGTGCTACAAGTCAAGAGATTGGCATCCTCCATAGCTTCTTGTTCTTCTTCTCAACTGTAAGAGCACACAGTGAGTAAATGAGAAACGAATCAATCTTACTACATCACCCATCATCCTTGAGACGGCTGAAATGCTCGAATCCTGCTGGAGAAAAACTCGAACTTTTAGCTAGACACTCTTTAAAATGCCTCACCGAGGCATTTACAGCGAGCAAAACCTTGAAAGTTGCGAAGCACTGCTGCTCCCAGCGAAATCCTCGTAGCATTACGTTTCTTGGGGACAGGGGACAAAGGTACAGCAGACCTGGAAGGACAAACAAGCTTTTTCGTGAGAGACCGAGAAACAGGAACTGGAAGGAGGAAAAGCAAGAAGACCGTGAGCTGGAAGAGGATAATCCATCCTGCTCCAAATGAAAACCACCAGAAGAGCGGGACGTTGTGACGAATGTAGCTCGATGGACGCGAGGAGAGGGCGAAAGTAGTCGGGCGGGAGGAGCTGCTACTCGCCCTGCTACCACCAATCTCGCAGCCATAGCCAAAACACGTCTAAACCCCACACCCTCTCTTATCGTTTCTGACTGGGAACTTAATGCCGACTGGCCGAGAGATAACACTGAAGAAAAAGCTCTTGTTATTCGCGATGATAAACTCTCGCCAATCTTGTCAACAAGCAAAGAAGACTATCCACGCACCTCAAGAATTCAATAGCATCACCTGGCAGGAAGAGACCAGTAAAACATGCCATGGAAAAGAAGCGAAAGAACAACGAAATGAAAAGAAGAGAGAACCTTGATGCTTCAAAACACTGCTCTCGTGACGGTTCTGACGCTACGCTTTTCGGAGACCTTAGGCAGTGCTGGAGCCAACCTGGGTAGAGAAACACAACACATGAACCACCATCCAGAAACAGGGAAATACAAAGGCACTAGAAAAGCTCGACGAAATGAAAAAATTCGTTTTGCCTGAAAACCTGGGTTGATACAGGTACCTCTAGCTGGTGATCATAGCTCAGGGAAGACAAGAACAGGAAAGAAAAAACACGGAAATTAAAGCCACAGATTCATCTGTGACAACGGACGATGGACTCCAAGGATAGTGTGCTAAATTCTGAGAGACTCAGCCATCATCGTCCCCTCGACTGTAGCAGCGGCCTGAAATTATCGAGAGACACCCACTTCAAGAAAATGCCTGCAACCCGAAAACGCGCATGAAAAAAAAAAAAAAAAATGCCGCAAGAAAGCGCGAGAGACCACCCCCAGATCCGAAGGGAAGAAACAAACAACAATGCAAGCAAGCTTCATAGCAAACAAAGACAAAGAAAGAATTTTCCTTACATTCTAGGCTCTTGGATCCACCGGAAATCAGCGAGACGAGCCTGGACGAGGCCGTGGCATTGTGCAAAGGAAACAGCGACACGAGCTCCCGACGAAGCCTGGCAATTCGATCGAAAGAATGCCAGAAGAGAAATAAATGTATACCTGGTCTTGATTCGAGCTTCTTCGAACGATCGAGGCAACGATCGATGGAACTGGTACTGCGGTTGGGCGCCGGAGGACCTGGGATGGAATTGCGGCCTGGCAGCGCGAGCGCGGAAGGCGAAGCGCCCCGCCATGCGACCTACATTGGCCGCTGCCATAGCCCTAGTCTAAAACCCTAGGGTTTATAAGCTCTATAGAAGAAAAGCGATGGCGGCAAGAGTGATGAGGCGGCTAGAATTGAGGAGGCTTCCCCAGCTCGGGATTCCAGGCGCGCGGCCACTGCGGCGATCGATCGCGATCCCATCGCCGGAGGGGCAGGCGAGCGCCAGGATCAGGTGAATTTCCAGTGCATGGATTCGATCGATCGAGCACAAAGGAGATTTTGTTTCCAGGATCCACAGGGGGATTTCGTCCATGGTGCCCAAGCACAGCGCCACGGCGGCGGCGCGACTGGTGACCGGGATCGCGGTGAGCTCCGAGGCGACGCGCTGGGAAGGTTAGCTTTTTCTCGCTTTTCTCGCGATCGAGAGATCGATCGGTTGGTTGTTCTTTGAGCTTTTCGACAGGCATTCTCTTGAAGTGGATGTTCCTCCAGTACTGACCGAGGGTTGATTGATCGATGGTAGCTCATGACATTCCCTGCAGAGAGCCTGATCAAATGTAGGATAGGAAAAATGCAAATGCTAGCTTTAGGGTTCCTCCTATTAGGGTTTCTACGAATTAAGAAAAGGGGAGAGCTTTGAATTGGTCCATCCAAAAGTTTCTAGAAAGCTCCAAGATCCAGGAATTTTTTAGGGTTCCTTGTACCACCGCCAGGTCTCCAAACACACGTCTCAACCAAAGAAATCACTCATTATAGACAAGGCCCAACCCTCCAGGAAAAGGCCAACACAGAATTCCCAAGCTCGTCCATAAACACTGAAGTTAAGCATTGCTGTCCCCATTGGAAACACGTTGTAGCGAATAAAAACCCAAAGAAAAGAACTCCAAATAGAAAAGAACTAAGTACCAAAAAAAAAAATAGACGCGTTGTCGCACAAAAATTAAAACTTTGCGTTGTTGCGTCGTTCCCATCGTGGCACGTAGCCGGCGCAACAACCATCTCCATCACAGCGACCGCCGTGGGATCAGCATATGCCCCAAGAATATCCCCTTCGTACGCCTGCCGTACGCTAAGGAACCCACGGCTGAGATCAGCCGTCGTCATGCAGGGAAATATTCCGTAGAATGTAACGTAAAAGATGACCTAAAATGGTAGTTACACATATAACTACGTTACAGTAGGAGACTTTGACAGCTGGCCCAATGGCGGGACTTCGCGACTTACCCCACGTAAAAACAAAGAGCGTGTCTCAGCGTGTGTGAAGAAAATCCCCGGCCCAGGGAGGGACTGGGTAATTTCTTCGACGTGGAGTAATTGCAGAAGATAAATACCCGGCCCTGGGCTTACCCTATTTCGCCAGGGAGAGAGAGAGAGAGCTCTGTGCGAGAGAGTGAGGGAAGAATTTCTTTCCAGCCCGCAGCGAAATCTCTTCGGCGCGATGGCATTGCAGGCGATTCTCAGGAAGATCTCAGCGCTGGTGCTGCTGATTGGCATTGTCATCGCGGCGGCGATGCCCATGGCAGCGCAGGGAGCACGAATTGGAGCAGGGGCCATGTCTTCGGCGATGGAGATGGATGATCTCTCCCTCGCGGAGCAGCAGCACGTCATGGATCTGGGATTGAAGATGGATGCCACCACCAGGCAGCTCCTCGCAGAGGATCCATACAAGACCTACTAGATTGGAGCATGGGAGAAGAGGGAATCGCCCAAATGGAATGGGGAGGGGTGGATTGGAGCGAAAGGAGGGATTTTTATTCTTTTTCACTGGTCTAGTATAAGTAGCAGCAGCACAAAAGCGGGGAGGAGAAGAGTTCTTCGTCGTTCTTCCTTGGACTTCTTTCTTTCTTTCCGCTGGATTCCTTCCTCCTCCTTCCATTTGGCGATCTCGATTCCTCCATAAGATTGTTTGTAGGCGAGGCAGCATTTTCCCCAGGTTTGTGGAAGTTGTGAGCAGTTTTTTCCCCTTTTCTCGTTTTCTCGTTGTAGTTCTTCCCAACGTTTTCTTTTTGGTTCTATCGCTTGGTTCTCTCGATCAGAGGATAGCGCCCTCCAAATAACACTCTCGATTCTCTCGAGCGTGCAGCATTTGTGTTTCTCCTCCTCGCTCTCGTGTAAAGAAAAGAAAAATTTGTACTCTCCATTCCACAGGTAAATAACACTCTTTGTGAATTCTATCCATGATCTCCAAAAAAAACTCGCGCTCCTTGGCTAGCCAGACGTGAGCTATCGAAAGCGCCAAACACACCCCTCTCGCGATGGATTGATAGAAAACTCCGTGGCAGCATTGGAGCTAGCGATTAGATTACTGGCGCTTCCGGATCAAAGTGCTCTTCCACTTAGAAAAAAGTTGGAAGAGCCGAGAAAAGGAGCGAGCAAAAGCCTGTTCTTGAGGTGACCGGCGAACAACTTGCTAGGCAGCAATGGCACCAACCATGTCTGCAGAGCAAGCACGTAAACACAAAAAAAAAATAAAATTCACAAGGACCAAAAAAAAAAAACAAAAAAAACCTTACAGCACCTTCTCTATAGGACAAGTGTGCTCGGCTGGCTGCCGTCGGATGGATTCGACGGCCAGGATGAGCGAAAGGAAATGCTGCAAATCCCGCCAAGACCACCCAGAATTTGTCCAGAGCTTGCAGACGACTTAAGGGGATGCGGTTGTAACTGATCGCGAAGTTTTTCCTTTCTTTCGGTGCTGGGTCTCCTACTTTCGCGTTCCTGGAGTGGAAGAACAGAGAGAGTTAGAACAAAAGTGGAATGAATGGAAGTAATCACTCACAAAGTCCATGGCGAGATCGTTGTTTCGCCCATTTTTTTTTCGCCTCTCCGTGTTTTTGCTCTTTGTGATCTCCAGACATCAGCATCACCCTCGTAAATGCATCCTGACGTCGATGCTCCCGCATCTCTCTCGCTTCTTCAATGGTATAAATTTTCCCTCTCGTAGCATATAAAAAAACGTACCGATCGTTGCTCGTGACCGGTCCTACTATAAGGCAGACCCGAGAGAAAGATTGTATATCACCTGATCGTGTCATACAAAGCTGGAAAATAAGTGTAAGAAAAGAGAAGTTTAAGACGAAACCATACCTGGTCTAGTTTTCCTGGAACGAAACGCGCTTCTTCACTTGACTTCTCGCTCTTCGGGACGCTGTAGTGGAGGGGGGATCCGAAGAATTGTTGTGCTGGAGTTGCCGCTGCCTCGTTTTCTTCGGGATGAGCAGCTGGCGGAAGCAGCACAGGACGATGCCAAGCTCGGTCACGAACAGCACCGTCGCGCTCCACACGTAGAGTGTCCTCCTCCACTTGTAAACCAGCGACTTTTTCCACGGCAGGTCGGCACGGATCTGGATCTCCGACACGTAAAGTTCCGGAAGACCAGATCCTGGCCCGAATCCAGCTCTCGGCTCCAGCAAAACTTTCACGCTGGCGACGTGCACGGGACTCGCGCGCGGTCGTCTCAGGTTTATCATTTCCAGCTGCAGGACTTGGTACTCCCCGGCCACGTCGAGAAGGACCGGCACTGAGTAGATGAGCGTCCTTGCGTAGCGTATCGGGACGCTTTGAAATCGGAGCATGCACGGGCGACTGGATCTGACGACGACTTCGTTCCGCGCTGACAGTATCTCCGCTGCCACCTTCACGGAAAAAGGACATGCTTGAAGTCGAAGAAAGAAAATGCAAGCAAAGCAAGGAAGAAAAGAGAGTGAGCTCTCACCTGAAACATCCCAAGTTGCCGGTTATAATCTGACTCAGGGAGAGTTAACGACACCCCGACGCGGAGCTTATCCCAGGAGAATGCTGGCGGCCACCGTGAAAGCTCTTCGCCAGTCCCGGCCTCGGAGATGAATCTAAAGTATGCGCTGGGGCGAGCCTCGGTGTAGTTGAAGTAGAGCGGAGCCTTGACGTCGAGAGGTACCTCCACGAACTTGGTCACGTAGAAGTACTCGACGAGCAGCACGGGCAGGACGAGGAAGGCGAGCATGAGCAGCGCGTAAGTCACTGCTAAAACTCCCCATCCAAATCTCTGGACGAAGCTGGCGAGCCGTGGAGCAAAGTCCGACGCGAGTGGCTTGACGCGAGAGTTGAAAAGCTCCGAGAGGTTCTTTCCCGCAGCGCTGGTCATTTGTACCGGGTCGAGGACGAAGGCGTAGAGCAACCCGAGGGTGGAGACGGCGGTGGTGCACGCAAGGAAGATGACCTTGAGCTGCCAGGCCACGGCAAGGACGATGAAATTCGCTGGCCAGAAGATGAGACTGCTCTCGTTGCCATTCTCGACACTGTCCGGCATCTTGTAAACTTCTCGCCTCGCTGCTTGAGGCTTCTCGCCAGCTTCTTCTGCTGAATCCATGAAAACTGGCCGGATAACGTCGTAAAAAATCCCGGCGTCGCGCTTGGAAACTTGCTCGAGTTCTTCGCTTCCAATCACTTCTGCGGTTATCTCCGACTGGTGGTCACTTCCAGCTTGACGAAGAGCTCTTAGTCGATCTGTGAAGCTCGTTTCGTCCGTGTCAACCTGCTCGAGCGCGTCTCTTTCGCTCGGTTCTAAGCTCACCTCGGGGTGGTGGCTTTCTCCTCCATCAACTTCATCTAATGTCTCTGTGGAGCTCGTCTCGTCGGTGTCATGCCTGGGAACTTGCTCGACCTCGCCGATCCCGTCCAAGCTTTCTCGTCGTGAATCTCGCTCTGGCTGGACGATTTCATCGTCGGAAGCCTGCTCGATTTCGCTTATCTCTGAGTGACTATCCTCTTCTCCTGTAAGGCTATGGCTCCCGTTTTCCCCCTTTTCTAGAGCAGCTTCTTCCTCGCGTTGCCAGTCCAGCGAACGATCCTTGCATTTCTTCCTGTTCCTCAAGCTCCCATTCCGCCCGCTACTCATCTCTTTGCGGGGCTCATCCGGGAAGGCGAGCGCGTCACTGAAAGCCTCCTCCTCCGCCATGATCCTCTCCAGAAAATCCTCCTCGCTGCTCTAAGATCACATACCTCGCCGCAAGCTCTTTCTCCCCTCCCTAGCACAGGAGTTTAGGGCTTAAAGAAGAACCGATGAAGTGGCATTTAGGCCAAGCATATCCCTCGACAACGATTAAAGCTAATTTTAGGGTTTTCGTAAGTAGCAAGAAAAGGGTCTAACGTAAGAACTATTCGTGAAGAACTCTAAAAATCCGAGAAGAGAAACTTTAGAATGGTCAACTCAATCACTCTTTCGAATAAAGTAAGGCAGGGGAATCTCTTCTTCTTATTTGTGTACGCCACCATCAATTTTTCCACAAAGAAAAAGATGATCCAAGCATCTCGATCAATCTATCTTCCACAAAGAAAAAGATAATCCAAGTCTTGAGAAACCAAAAACAAAACTTAAATGGATTTCTCACACATAGATCAAGATAGCCTCGCTACAAAATTTAACAGAAACTAATATTAGGGAAGGCAAACTTTAAAAGTATAGTGCCAGGCAATAAGAATTACCATGCCACCTTTTTCAATCTCTTCAAGTAAAGCCGTACGGAATCTATCTTATTGTTGTTCCACAAAGAAAAAGATGATCCAAGTGGCAGTATCGATCAATCAATAGTTTGGGTAGTACAATCTACTGGTGACATTGACGATGAACGTATCGCCATCGATGGAATGCGTGACGAGGTTCGCGATCCCGCGCGCCATCTCAAAGTCGCCAGTGCCGCCCACCACCGAGATGTCCCTGCTGGGCGCCAGGATAAGATCCGCTCCCATGAAGTTGAGCGTGCCATTGTACTCCTCGTTCTCGATCACCGCCGAGAAGACGAGCAGCGCGTTGAAGGCGATCCCGGCCTGGGTGCGATCGTAGATGTAGACGCCCTGGCCGCGGCCCAGGAGCTTGGATCCCAGCGCTGGCGCCAGCGTGAGCGAATCGTTGAAGACGATGACTTTGCCGAATCCCAGGCCGGTGATGTTGTGGTTTGGGCCGGCCACCTCCGCGGCGGTGTTCGTCCATGGATGCGTCGTGTTTTGGAGGGTGTCGTGCCAGAAGAACTTGTACGTGGAGGGCCTCTTGGGCGATTTGGGACTGGAGGAGTGATGAGCGGCGCGAGCGGGGAGGATCAAGAGAGCGAGAGCGACGAGGATGATCACGCAGAAGAGAGTTTTGCAAGAACTTCTATGATCCATTTCTTCTTTGGAAGGTGTACTAATGGAGAGCTCGAGAGACCTTGGTTTCTTTCTTTCCTCTTTGGAGAGAAAGGCCCTGGCATTCCCGAGAGAAGTATGGGTTGATTATATACTGGAAAAGCTTAGCTGCGAATTGTTGACCACCATAGCAAGTTTCCATCGCTGCAGTGCTTCGGATGGAGATGCTCTGCGGACATAATATATTGTTGTCTTCTCCTCGTTCTTTGATTCGTTTTTTGACCTGTAAGAAATAGATTGACCGGTAGTTCCAAAAAAAAAAAAAAAAAAAGAAAAAAGAGAGAGAGAGAGAGAAGCAGACCTTTTTCGCGCAATGGTGTCCGACCCGTCTCTTCTCCGAAAATTCGAAGAGAGCTATAGTGCGAAAATGATCATCTGCCAAACGTGAAAAGAAATGTCTATGTAAATCGAAACTGTAGCGATACCGATTTATCTTCTCTAAAAATCTCAAGTGCCACTAGAACTTACTGTGGAGATCCTCAAAATCTTGCCAGGCCAGCGAGCGAGCCCTGCGTCGTGTAACAAGTAAAAAATTAAGAGCGCTGCTGTCAGCCTGCTTGTGCCAAAGGTCCACAGGTTAAACTAAAAAAGAACCAGACCGCCATGTTCATGGACTTCGTGGAGGCTCTATGATCGAGATTTTGAGACTTTGAGCTATAGTTAGACCTCTTATACCCTGCAAGCTCGTAAAGAAGAAGAGTATTGAGAGTATTGTGTGTCGAATTTACAAACCGGTGCGATATGATACATGCCAAAACTTACAAAAGCCAAACTGATGATCAGGATGCACGCGCAAGCCACTGCTTGCACATGTCTTCGACTGGCAATGCGCCAGTCATTCGAGCCTGGAAAGAAAAGAAGACAGAAGATAAAACATGGCATGCAAGTGTCTTGCTTGCTTACCTGTTGCCGAACCCATTCAACATCTCCAATGTTGTTGCTGCGAGAGGCGATCTGGAATGCCGTTTTCAAACGTCCACACATGACACACGCCAAGACTTTCCTGCACAGAGGCAAATGTTTAACCAAAAAGGAAAGCAAAAGAGCTCGCCACGCACCTGTGAGTACTCGACAACATCTCAATAAGCCTGTCGGGCCTCTCACGGTGCCTGTTGGCATAGACCGAAATGGCCGCTCCAATTATCTGGAACGTTATAAAAGCGTTAGCTGCAAAACACCTCCTTCCAAATAATAACCTGGTCGAGGTCCTCGTTGTCGATCGTTCCTTTGATGTTTCGTAGCAGGTCTACCAAGTTATTGTACTTGCGTTTCTCTGCCAACGCAGCAGCTACACCAGCATATATGTAGACAGCTGCAAACAGAACGCCAGACAATGGTATGCACGACTTTTGAAAGAGTGATTACTCACCAGGAAGTCCGAAGTCATAGATTATTTGAAATGCCAAGTCAAAGTTTTTCTCCACAAGCGCCTCAGCCACTTCGCACCTTCGTCTGGAGCGCGATGAACACTCGTGAGAAACTACGCGAGGTAAAAGAAAATACGCACTTGAAAGTATCGTTGTCATTAGGATTTCCAAAAAGAGAGCGTTTCCATGGAGGGCCGTCCGCGTCGCTGAAGCATTTCACCACTTCCATCTGAAAAACAAGATGAAATAAGCGTCAGGCCCACGCGAAGTTTCAGAAGAGCCAGTACCTGAACAGACAAACGTGCAGAAAATTTTATCAAGTCCTCGTCAGTCAGCTTTTCAGATGGACTCTTTCCACGAGAAGCCTTTGCAGCCGACTTCACGTTCTCAATCGCTTGCTGACGAGCAAGGAGCCCTTCCTCAAAATGACCCTGTCATTCAAATAAGCTCACAATCATTCACAAACCATTGATGAAGAAACGTACCTTAGCACGCTCAAGATTTCGAAGAGCTTGGTCTTGTGTTGCAGAGTTTAAAAAGAGCTGGATGCAGCACAAACCGGCTGCAATGTAGTCTTTCTTCAAAACCTGCACAACCATCCCCCTTAGTTTAAGTTCAACCATGCAGGAAACCGGTACCTGGAACCGGTAAAGATGGTTGAAATGCCGGTGTGTCTCGAAATAAAAGCATATGCGAGTCAGAGCTGCAAATGTATGTTGCGAAACTTGAGTATCTTCGCTGCTAGCAGAAGAAATCCGAGTCTCTATCACATGCTCCAAAATCGGGATAGCTCCGTATCCAACACATAAGTCACATAAATCGTCCACTGTTCCATATTCTGTTGTCAAGCTTGTGACGCTTCCAGATGATAAGTTTGCAGGAATTGGAGGAAGAGTACCCACAGGGAAGAATAGCGAACAAGCTTCACGATAACGACCATGTCGAAACATGAAGCCAAGAAGCAGCGAACGACCATACTGCCCAACCAGCCACAGTTGATTATCTACCAGCTGGTAAATCGAAATAGTTACCTCGTCCAAGTAGTACTTGCATTCCTCGAAACGGACATTATCCAAGTTGCTCAAAGGAACCGAAATCTCGTCCGCATTAAAATAAGAAAGTCGCTCTGACGCCTCTTCCGTAGTCCTCCTGGATCGATCAGCTCTTGTGAATGTTGGTATGTAAAGAACGTTCAAATATGAGTCTGCGGAAAGCGAGTCATCCGATGAGCTTGAAGCGCTCTTCGCCATGTGAACGTACCTATAGCAGGCAAACAGGTTAACAAAGTCGAGAGAGAATGACAACATACAGAGAACGTGCAGCATGGACATCAGCAGCAGGGCATGCCTCCACATTGTCAACTATTCTCTGAACAATCTTGGATGAATCTTCCTTGTATAATTGAAATGCTTTCCTGTAAGTTGCCAGGTTAGAGTGATAAGATGGTCAAACAAAAAGATACTTGCTTGAACTTTAGCCTGGCTTGCGCATAATGTTCTATCCGAAGTAGTGCGTAACCCCATGCTTCCCAAACCGGAAAAACGTCGATCTGAACAGTAGTATTGGTCTCACACAAAGCTAGCAGCACCGAGAAATAGTTACCTTGCATTTCGTGCATGTGTATACGGCCATACCATATCGCTCCTCCTGGATCAAACGGTCACGAAGGAGAAGCGCCGAGGTTTCGTCTGCCACATCGCCTACAGAGGCAGTGACACCAGAACCGAGTAAAAAGTGTAGCAGTTCCACCCGGTTTAACCATATGTCAGCTTCTGACAATAGTTTCGTGAGACTGGTCGCAGACTGACTGTCAGTACCGGACTCTGAAACAGTATCTGGAATTTCCTGGCTCGGTGCTTCTTTGTTGCCCAAGAGTTTATGAAGCTGAGTTCTAGCATCCAGTAGTACCTGCAAAAAGGATTGGCGAAGAAGAAACAAGCCAAGAAAGTGGTACCTGGACAAAAGTTCCCGCTGCATGAAATGCTCTTTCAATTGCTTCCGAGCTCGCTCCAGCTGGTAAGCAGTCTGCACTGAGAATACTCTGGACTTGAGAAACGGCCAGTTCAACCGCAGACTTGGCAGCACTTGCTTGATCAAAACAAAGAGACAGAAGTGCCTGCACAGTACGCTAGTGAGAATAAAAACAAAACAAAACAACCAGCGATAGCTACCTTGAACAAGACAAAACTAGGTGCACTGTCGTACTTATGAAAGCTACGAACGGCTTCGTCTTTGACAGGATCACCAGAGAGAACTCCATCTGTCATAGTTAGAGGTGCAAGCTTCTCATAACCTTCCGGTCCGAGTCCAATTGGTCTATCCTCCTGATACCCAGCCATAGCTTCCCAAGCGGCCTTCTGTGATGGTGGAAGGGTACTTTTTCTCTTTCGGGTACCATCGATTTTATTCCTCGCGTCTCTCGGTGTCCAGGTGAATCTTCGGTTATTGCCATTTTTGTTCCCAGAGGCCGGCTTGATTGGAAGATAATGTGTTTGCCGTTCGGGAGATGCAGGTGCAACATATACAGCTTTTGAAGCGTATGTGATTATGAGTTTGTCATTGCGCAACGATGGAAAAGCATTCAAAAGCTGCAAAAACTCGATATAGTTATAACCAAAATACAGCCAAAAAATTATTGGATACCTGTGACGCTGCCTGGAATTGCTTCCACATAAGGAGTGTCTCTAGTATAAGCTGCGGATGTTCGTGTAAGCCTACGCATCGTTGTTGCCAAGGTAAGGGAAGTGCACCAAGCATTTTGAGGCCCAATGCCAGTCGATCCATCCTGTCGTGCTCTTCTTCCGAGAGAACGCCAATCTGCCGTTTCAAAAGAAAGTGTACCTGCATGCGGTAGTTTAATTTTAATAGTGTAAGAAGGTTCAAGTCAACAAAATGTTACCAGAAGCTGTTTAGAATGCAAATTTGGTAGCTGCTCCATCGCAGCCATTGCAACCGGCAATGCGTCCTCGGGGTTGTTCAGTGAACCGAGAAACCTGATAGCCTCAGCTGGACCTCCACCACTTATGGGATCTGCTGTAAGTAGCTTCACTAGCTGCCGACCTTGGAGCTCCCTCCGTAAGTCATCTGAAAGTTTGAAGGACTCAGCAATATCTAGCGCTGCAGTAACAGCTCCTTTGCCAGCAAGCCTCAAAGCTAGGCCCTCGGGATCTCTATCACATAAGGACTCAACCTGAAGGCAAGACAGTCATAACAAGACGCGAAGTATAATGTCGCAAACCTCTTGCCAGTTCTCAAACTTGACGTCTTCTCGCAATATTTGGCGGTACTGTTGCAGATGCTTTTTAACCCGAATGACCTTTGCAAGACTAGCATTTAGACACAACGTTGATAGAATAACCCGAAACTGCTAATACCTCTTCATAAAGAACATCATCAGTGGGCAAATGGCAGCTACACATGGTCAACACGTCGATAGCCGCATCCAGCTCCCAACGATGCAAGTACCTAAACGCCAAGCCGGTGTTTCAGATATACAACACAAATTACATGCCTTACTTGAGAGCAAGCGTCGCTGCTAGGCGTTTGTCCTTCAGACGTATACAGTATTGCCAGCTACTGTTCCACAAGTTATGGTGGAGGCTCAAATGACTAGAGCTCGGAGCGCTATCTTCACCTCTTTCGATAAGAAGTTGCAAGAGTTTGTCCGGAGCTCCAGCTTTTAGCCATCGATCGGCAAAAGTTAACGCGTCTACAAGCTTCCCATTCTTGATTAAGCTTTGGAAGAAACACAAAGGAGAAAAGACATGTCAAAGAAAAGTATAAATAAACGCTTACCTCTCCACAGCCTCGTGATATGGATATTCATCTTCCCAAACGTGATTAGCAGGAATAGATTGTTCTTTGATGACAGCACCTTCAGCTGGAATTTCCGCTTGTGTGTCAGTTTCGGCCTGCTTTCTTTCGTCATGATCGTCTTCATCGGCTAATAGTTCAGAATCTCTAGCGCGCTTGAGTTTACAGCGTCTCGGACTTGTTTCCTTCTGTACAAGAGCCTCCTTAGGTGACAGAATAGATGAGTCACGAAGTGTTTGCAAATTCGCTTGCATTTGAATCCATCTTTGCAATGAAGGAAACCTGTGAGCAAAGGAACGGATGAGAAACATCGACTAGCAAAATACAGGATACCTTTCTGCTTGCTCGACAGCAAAATCATTTCCAATTTTCGAGTCCTTGTTACCAAATACACATGCCAGGATAGTTCGCACGGGGGAGAGTGTACTCAAGAACTTAATGGTGTCCAAGTCCAGCTCATGGGATGGGTGCTGAGAAATTGTTGATGCGCTGGGAGGAAGAACTGGCGACACACAAGCAGAAATTACTTGATGCACCAAATCTATTCCCATCACTTCAGCAACTTTAGCAGCTCCATCCGTGCTGCGCCTCTCAAATGCTAGTCGAGTTAGCAACTGCAAAATAGATAAATTCCATGGGAAAATATAAAATGGAAATCCTCTGAAACATTCTTACATCACCCGGACTCTCGTACAAAAGCGAGAAAAAGTTGAAGTCGTGAGTTGTATCCACACCGTCGACAATATCTCCAATGGTTGCCACATAGAGGATGAACGCGGACAAGTAAGCCATAGGCTTGTTCAGCAACGGTCCCAAATATCTCCTTCCTATCGGCCTTTGATGTAAGGCCTCGTCAGTGCTTCCGGCTGTTTCATGTGTCCTCAATAATAAAGGACGAAATCCCAGACCAAGTGCGAAACCATTCTCCTGCTGCTTTCGATAAAATAACAGCCTCGAGGCAGGATCCTCGTGCTCCTCATCCGCTAAGGCCTTTACAAGGTTGTGAAGCTTGCCTACACAAGAAAATTAAACAAGCTCGAACAGGTATTAAACGAACTTACCACTTAAAAACTGGCCTTTCCCATTATGTGCATCGTCGATTATCTGATGTAACATGGTCAAGGCCCGCTGCTTTGATCCCTGGCGCAGGCTTTCGGAGCCAGAAAAAGCACTAGTGCCAGAGAGAAGAACAGGAAGGGGTTGATTATGACCCTGAAAAACGCAAAGTGTTACACACGAAACACGCGAAAGAAATAGAGCCCGACCTGTTCCAGCAACTCGTAAAACCTTTGAAGAACACGCTTGAAAAGTGGTACGAAATGCTGCTCATGTGTGGCCTCAGATACCAACGATCGTGACTGGAAATGGAAAGAGATGTGAATCACAGAGAAATTGTGTTTCAACCCTTACTTCTTCCAAAAGCAGCATGGAGGTCTCAATAGATGATGTGCGCGTTGCAGCAACATCCAAACAAGTTACACACTGAAATTTCGTTAAACTCGAATGTGGATCTTAAAAATATCAGCTTACACTTGACTCTGGCGCCAATGAACGAGTAAAGCGTTGTAATTCTTCTGGACCCTGAAGGAAAGTTCAGTACAAATGCCAAAGCGTCAAAGCGGAACCCATACCTTTTTTTCCCCAGCAGCATTATGAAGCCATTCAGCCAAATGCAGTAGCACATTATTTTCAAGCGTAAGCGAGTACCGCTGGACTGCATCCTTAGCTAAGTCATATTCAGATCTCAAAATGCACCTAGAGACCCGAATGGGAAAGGATTAACAAAACACAAAAGAAAAGAAAGAAAGAAAGAAAGAAAGAACCAAGCAACTTACATGTTTAGCAGTGAAAGAGGTGCGGAGTGAAGAATACCAAGAGCTGATTTCCACGACAGTTGTTCTTCAGGACGCAAAATCAGTCTTTCAACCACTAGCAAGCGCCAGTTCCAGTCCTCGACAAAACGGCTTATTTTGAGGCGCTCGTTCTCCCAGCACTCCCTCCATTCCGGATCAAGTTTGGCTTTCCCATAAGCCAAACTGAAACCCGAGGGAGGGAGATAGCGATGCAGTATTTCCAGCGTGCGCCTCACAAAAAGCATGACAGGTTGTTCACGGTCCTCAATTAATCGTTGAGAAGTGTCTAGCGACTGTAAAGCCTCCTCAATAGGCATGTCTTCCAAAACGTGCTCCTCCTCCATTTGAAGGAATGTGACGATCATACCGAGCATCCAGAGCTGAAAACAAACACAAGTTAATACACACCACAGTTCATTTCTCCACTTACTCGGCGGACTGGAGTTTTTATCGCTTCGAGATGTTGCTGAAGCTCACTCAACGATGTCAAGCCCGCCGTCTTAATTTTATCTTCTGCTGTCACTGCTATCATTGCTACTGCTGTAGCCTGAAGAGCATAATGCATATATAGAAGTTCCAAATCATTATGCCTTTTAAGACCGAACGTTAGCAAACAGATGACGCAAAACCTCGGACGTCATACCTATGCATCAAATCCAGAGATGAAGAAACCGGCTGAAGTTTCAACAAATTTACCGCATCTCGCAATCTTAGATTCGGTATCATATCGAAGATAACCTACAGCCCGCTTGTTCGTTCATTAGCAAGAGTTTTAATGGATGAACTTACACGAAGAGGGGACTCATCAGCAAGACGTTCAAGAACAAGATTTTCTGCAAAACTGTCCGACGGTACTGTTGATTCACTCTTTAGCAAGCGAGGCCCTTCAAACTCATTTCTTGAGCCGGATTTTACTTGTGCTACAAAATACGCTACTTCCAAGTTGTAGCAAAGTCGATCACACAGGTCTTCAATGCACGAAACCTGCAAGGAATGCAACTCAGCAAAACGTTTTACACGGTCGAAGAGAACTTACTTCATGGACAAGCTTTCCTGAGGTAGGAAAGCCTTTACCGAGTTTCGATTCCGAATACCAAAGAATTTCCATCATATTACGACGGCCGGTTGTGTTGCACGTCAAGAGGTTCCAACCCATGGCCGCAACTAATGGGCGAAGCCTAGGAAACGGAACAAGAACCTGAAGAGGAAAACACATACACATTACTTACTACAAGAGCCTGCCAAACAGTCCCATACAAATCAAACTCAGGCTTATGAGGTTATTAGAATCTATCTGTCTGTCTACCTGTGTGCAATGCGAAGGAATGCGGAGGGATGCAGTAAGAAACGATACAATGGCTGGAAGCATACATACATCTGCCGCAAGCTCGAGTTGAGACGTCCTGATGGCATCCAGAGCAATCTTCGTAGCTGTCTCAAGGACGTGCTCTCCTTTCGCCCGAGAATGATGAAAAGCGTTTCGCATGAACTCCCGCAATACTGTCTCGACCGTTGACACATTCTGTTGCTGCAAGGCTTCACGTTGCTGATGCAAACTCCAAAATGGACGTGGAATAACACCTTGAACTTCCTGTTCAGCCTGAATAGGCTTATCCTGGGAAGCCTGGAAGCAGCAAACCAGACGAGGATGAGCCAGAAAGTCGCGTTAGCACGAAGACTTACCTCCAACACACTTAGCAATCGGGTGCTACCAGAAGAAAGAATGCCTTCATAAGCCAAGGAGAACAGCCTTTTGTTGTCAGCCACAACGCACCGGTCACCTAGTAGCGATACAACTTCGCTGCCAGAACCAGAACAACTCAAACAATGAGTTACAATCAATGCATAGATTCACCTGAAGTCAGCCTCCGGGACTCCACAACGCTCGTCCAGGTACTTCAAGTGGGAAATCCCTTTTTCTAATTCCCCTCGATCGACAAACTCTTTGATGCGCTTCAAATGAACAAGCTGCACCTGCTGAAGAAAGATAAAACCGAAACCATCCCCGCGGAACTCCTCATCAAGCTCGCTCTGCCTTCGAATATTTCTACAAATCGCAGCCATCGTCTCAGGCTGAGCGACGGTGTAACACTCGACCCAGCTCTCCAACTTCTCCAGCTGCTCTGCGCTAAAACCAGAATTTACACGGCCCTGCTGCGAAGAACCAAGCAGCCCCTCCAATCGTCCGAGGAAAAAAAAGGTGATATCGTGCGAAAACCCCGCGTCTATCACTCGACTCGCCGCTTCACTATCTACACACTCTCCCGTCGCGTCGACACCACTGCCCTGTGCCTTACTACTACTCGATCCTAAAGTTCCATCACCTATCTCCCTTTTCCCAGCACCATCCAGAGTGATTTTCCCTTCTAGCATCTCCAGCAGGAGGAGCATTTCCACCAATTCCCTGACGAGCTCGATGCCGGCAATGGAAGTCCCGTCCAGTTCTTCCAACTCCAAAACACACATCCATGCGAGCTGCGCTGGCGATTCCACCAAAACACCTGGCATGCGGCCACCGACAACCACCACGGCCCGCAGCAATGCGATCGCGGCCATCGCATTCTTGTCGGACAGAGTCTTGATCGCTGCCCGGAACGCCTCAAACTGACCTAGGAAGAGATGATTCGCGGCGACGCGAGCCAGGATCTGCTCCTCGTCCGTCGCCAGGAATTCACCCTCGCCATCGCGATCCTCGCCCTCCTCCTTCTGCTGTTGGTCCCGAGGCCGGGATTCCATCAGCGCCATCGCCCCTCCTCTGCCATTCTCTTCCATGCCTAGAAGATCATAAACCCTAAAGGGTAATAGAATATACTCAAAAATTAAAGTACAAAATTTAAAGAAGAAACGGATCTTTGCCCTAAAGTTTATCAAATAGAATTCCAAGAACCCTAAAATAGGGGAAAGGATGGCTTGGCGGCAAGTGATGAATCGCGCGGCGCCCTGGCGGAGCGGCGGGCAGATTCTTGGGCGGCGCTGGGCGGCATTGTGTGAGGATCATCAGGTGTGGAGGGCAGTGCAAGGGCGCCAAAGTCCAGACGCGCCGTGGAATGCAATGCAGGGGTTTGGAACTCCATCCGACGACCTAGCTCTGTTGATTCCTGTGGGATTGCCTTTGCCCTGGCCTGCAAACGGTCCAGCGCCATGGTCAGCTCACGATGAGGGTACGCTTCAAGAATTACTTGCATTGTAGAGACTATAGGCCTGGAATTTGACAGTGAAATGCCCCGAGATCTTGGATGCCGACGAGAGGTAATCGCTGTTCTTTCTCTTCGGTTTTAGTTTGAGAATCTCTTTTTCTTTTCGGATTTGTCACTCCTAGCTCGATGATCATGATGCCCAAGAGGACTTATCAGCCAAACAACAAGAAGCGGAAAAGGACTCATGGATTTCTCGTGAGGTGAGTGAAGTACACAGTCACTTTCTCGCGGATCAAAGCCAAGTTTTGTTTGGCGCAGGATGAGGACTCCAGCAGGGAGACGGATTATCAGGCGTAGACGGGCCAAAGGAAGATGGAGGCTAGCAGTGTAGCAGGCACATTTGTAAGTTGACCAGTTCCAAACTAGTTTTGTGCTTTGCTTTCAAAGACTTGTTCGGGAAAATTGAGCTCAGCTTATGAGTTGAGCTCAAAGTCAATGGTAGTCAACGAAAGTCTTTACTGTCATTGACTTCGAAAACTAAATTTTTTTTGTCCAAAGTTGTGTAATTGCATGCATAAACCCTAGAAAATTAAAGTAAGTAAGCAAAATAAGAATATACCAAAGAATTTATAATTGTTTGGATCACGGTGGGACAGTTAGAGGGTGGGGAGGGAGGGATTATCATTCTTGGCACTCCTAAAATTTCTTGACAGCCGACACTAGTAGAAAAAAAGTGTTCTTTCCCCTCTCATGGATCTCAAGAAATTCTGGCTGCCAGTATTCATTGGAATTCTCATCTTCTCGCCCTGCGATGCAGCGAATTCGCGGAATTCGAGCGCCAAAAACTGGAGCAAATCCCTGGACGCCACATTTCCAGAGCAGCTCCGGCGAGGATTGAGATCATGCGCCACAGTCGCCAGCCCGGGCGAGGGCGGCGTGTGCAAAATCCTCGCGGCCATGGACGAGCAGCTCAAAATCCTGGCCGCGCCCAAGAATCGCGATCCTCCTCCAAGGAATTCTTGCAAATTCAAGAGTGACAATGGAGCATCGCTTCATAGGTACGCGACGGATCGATCGCCGGCGCTCCAGGCGCTGCTCGATCGCTACTCGGCCATGCACAGCGCCTGCGTCGCGCGCGACCACGACAATCTCCACCACATCATCGCCAAGAACACCGCCAAGATCACGAATCCCAGCCAGTGCCGCTACATCGTGTGGAGCTGTACCTTCGGCCTGGGCAACAAGCTCATGTCCCTCGTCTCCACATTCCTCTACGCCATCCTCTCCCAGCGCGTCCTCCTCCTCGAAGAATCTCCCTCCTGGGATCGCCTCTTCTGCGAGCCCTTCATCGATTCACACTGGAAGCTCCCGCGCGGCCTCTCCCTCAAGGACGATCAATCCATCTCTTTCCCGGATTTCTATGCGCGCTGCCGCGGCCGCCTCGCTCGATCCGACGCGTGCCGCTCCCAGCCCGTCCTCCCGATCGTCTTCTCCGCCAACACCAAGCCGGAAGAACACCGATTCCTCGTCTGCCCGTCTGCCATGGCATCGGTCAGGAACATCCCAGTCTTGAATTTCAGGAACAGCAACCAGTACTTCGCGGCGGGATTCTTCCTCAATCCATCCCTGCGCCCAATCCTCGAGGCGATCTTCCCGGAGCGCCGTGTCTTCCACAATCTAGCCGGCTTCCTGCTCAACCCTAGCGACGAGGTCTGGGGATCCATCCAGTCGCTCCACAGCATGAAATTCCGAGGCGCATCGAGAAGAATCGCGGTCCAGCTCCGCGAATCCAAGGGCGACTACCGCGACTACTACGACGCATCGGTGCCGCGCTGCATTCGATCCAAATCCGGCCTCTGCCCGATCGAGATCGACGAGTTCCTGGAATCCAAGAACAAATCCATCGCCAGCGACGATTACATCGCGGTCTACGTCGCGTCCCTGGTGGGCGAGCACGCCGCCAAGCTCAACGCGAGCCTGCGCGACGTGGAGTCCCAGACGGGGCAGAGATTCGAGCTCGTGACGCTGGGTGCTGACGAGGAGCAGCGCGATGACGTGGACCACCAGCAGAGGGCCCTCGTGGACATTTGGTCCCTGAGCCTTGCTGACGTGTTGCTGACGAGTCACATGTCCACGTTTGGCTATACGGCCCAGGGACTGGCGGGATTAACTCCGTACTTCCTCAAGCCTTGGCGGGATGATCCTTGCTGGCCCAGCGTTTCCAGTGATCCTTGCTTCCACTTTGCGCCATCGAAGAAGCTATCGTGCCGAGAGGATGGATTTAGCTTGAGTGGGAGAGAGAGTGGTGGCGCCGCCATGGCTTGCCCGGATCTCCCAGATACTGGGATGCAATTGTTAGAGCCGCCGTGAGTGAATCGAGAAAGAAGAACTTCAATCCAGGCAAGAACAAAGCAAGAATCGATCGAGCAGGATAAACAATGTGGAATTTCAATGAGTTTTGCGTAATCGATCAGGCCAAAACATGAATTACAATGCTAGAAGCCTAAAGTTTAGAAGAGGGGATGGATGATCCGGGATGGGCGGTCATGGCGACCATCTTTGCATTGCAATTAGCGGCCACAACGCTAGCAAGAAATCCGCGATGGCTCCTATCGATGGTTCGTGCCAGGGGATTCCTTTCTTCCCATTGAGTTCTCTTGCTTTCTACCTAGGTGCGAATTAAACCCAAGAAATGCAAGGAATGTTTGGGAACTGGCTACAATGTTGAGTGATCTTCTCCTTTTTCTTGTTCGACTGGGATTTGATTCTCCTTGTGCTGAATTGGCGATTGCAGCTCTGCCTAATGTGCAAGGCCCGCGGCAAACAAGGCAGGCTCGCGCAAAATTCCAATTGCAAATCTCTCAAGCGTTGATTTTCAGGTGGGCTCTTCACTGGATCGCCGCTGGAGAAGTGCTCGCTATGCCAAGGCCGGGGAAAGATCAGCTGCGTACGCTGCGCGGGCACTGGAATCGCGAATCGCCTCTTCTTCCGCCTCAAGAAATCCTCCCGATAAAAGGTCTTCAAATTCTGTTTTTTAGGGTTCTTTATTTGTGAGGGAGAGGGTCGTTTTTTAGGGTTCTTCATTTGTTTCAACTAGACGAATGTACAAAACATATAACAAAGCTCACGCCCGTTTCCTCGCTTTCTTCGATTTCTTCCCGGACGACGATGGCGATGGCGATCCCACCCCGGGCGCCTTCTTCTTGCCCCTGTGCTTCCTCTCCTTCGTCCTCCTCTGCTTGGGCGGAGGAGGATCGGCAATGGGACCTGGAAGAACGCCCGGCTTCATGGCGCTTCCTCGCGGCGCGGCACACGGAGGAACCCTCACCCACGCCGGCGGGAGAGGCCGCCGTGGAGACCAGACGAGATTGTTCTTGAGCGCAAACCGGACCTTCTTTCCTCCTCCACTGCTTAGATCTTCGTCGCCCGACACCGACGTCGATTCCACCTCCTTCTCCGACTGTGCCGGCTGCTCGTCGCTGCCGCCTCTCCTCCTGGGTGACGCTCGTCTCGGACTTAAGCTCGGGCTCGGGCTCCGCGATCGTCTCGGGCTCCTCCTCGGACTACTCCTTGGGCTGTCCTCTGGATCGCTGTCGCTGCTCTGGAGCGCAAGCTTTAACTCGCTTCTCAGGACTCTTCGCGACTGGAACACTACCGCCTCGCCGGTGATCCTCTTCCGCTTCCTTCCATTCACGGAAAGGCTTGCCGGCTCCGCCAGCTCCTCCGCCACCACCACCTTTGGTGGCGGAGTCACGGCCGGCTTGAGCATCCCCATCGCCGGCGAGGAGACGCCTCCCTCCGATCTGCTAAAGTCTTCGCAGAGCTGCTGGAGGAACTTCTTGTTGATCGCCCCCAACGATGGCTCCGCCGAGAGCTCGAAGAACTTCCCCGCGAGTGGAAGACCGAGGACGAGAGATCCCAGGCACTTCTTTTCCTCCTCGCCACCATTCTCTACCTTCACTGCTTTGCGAGCCTCCTGGAGGAGCTGTAGGAAAACCGTGTCTCTCACCCTCTGGAGCACCGTCTTGTCCGTGGACGTTGCAAACACCGCGACGAATGGCTCGAGGAGGATCCTCAGCACCTCCGACGATGGAGGGATGCGGCTGCGCAGCTCCTCCACGAAAGCCTGCGCCAAGAAGAGATTGACGCCCTGTGCCTGGCTCTCCATCAAGCTCCGCTCGCCAAAAGCCTCGGAGAACTTGGAGATGAGTTCTTCGCTCCAGCCGTGACTCTCCAGCACCACAAACATCTGGCTCAAGCAGATCTGGAGCAGCAGCCGGAACTTCTCCAGCTTCTTTTTCTCGATGCCGCTCCATTCCACGATCATGGTCGAGAGCAGCACCTTGAACGCGAGGATGGCCATGTCCGGACTCAAGCTCCCGACGATGGTCGCTACGTTTCTTATCAGCTCACCCTGTTCCAAGGCCTTGGACGTCGACCAGATGCAATAGAAAATGCTCTGCCAGATCCTAACGAGGCACCGCTCCTCCACCATTGAGCACGAAGCCAGCCATTTTCCAAGAGCTTCCAGAGCCTTGGTCCTCACAGCCTTGTCCGGGGACGAGAGGTTCCTCGGCAAAGAAATCTCTAGCAGCGACTGTTCACTGGTAGAATCAATCTGTGCTTGGTTCTCTGGATCTAGTTCTGGCTCTTCCCGCGAGGAGTCTGGAGTTTGATCGCGATCTTCCACCCTCCAAATTTTTTCAATGGCGCCATCCACTACTTTTTCCACTTCCTGGCTACTGCCTACCTTGCCTACCTGTGAATGTGACAGTGGAGGAGCTTGGGCTGCCCAGCCGCGATCGCCCAAATCGAGAATACCTCCACCAAGAACATCGGCTGCCATGCCCAGCGATCGATCACAACCCTAGTGTCCTGGAAATCCACTTAGAGCCGCGAGAAGACAGAGAGAAAAGAAAGGGATCGCGCAGACCCACGAGACCTAGGAAGCACCAGCTATTATGCTTGCCTTTTGTTGCGCGAAGCCCGGCAAGCGCGATTGCATCGCCTCACATCCCTCACCGCGCTCGGGCAGGCGGCCAGAGCGCCTCCAAGGGCCAGATTTAAACGGAGCATAAAGCGCCACTGGAAGCCATAGCCAAATTTCTCGATCAGAATCTCGTCTGCGCGCCACGTGTCAGGCACGTCAGCAGGTGGGTACCTATCTATATTTCAACTTTTATGGATTATTTTTCAAATTATTCCCCTTGATTACTTAGCTTTGGTATTTTGTCACTAACACTTGCCTAGCATATGCTGTCCTATTAGTAAAATACTGTTTTGATTGTTATAATTTTGTTATATTAAAAACTAAAAGTGGAATAGTATCAAAAAAATAAATATTATATTTCACTTTGAAAGAAGAATTGAGGGAATTATGCCCAGAAAATGTTAGGTGAACACAAAAGTCAATTCTTGTAAACTTGATAATATAAATATTTAGAACAAAATATATTCCTAGGGAAAAGTAAAAATAAATGTTCATTAATAAAAATATTAGATACAAATTATTATTTGGAAACATGAATATATTTAGAAAAACACCTGACCCAGAAAAGGTAAAAACAAATTTTCTATTATTAGTAATATATTATATATAAATTATATTTTTAGGTGGGATAAACTTATATTAAGAGAATATTACTAAGAATAATTATTACTCATTTTTATTAGCAAGACATTACTTAATTATGAAGTTTACTTAAAATATAAAACAATAAGTTTTTAGGAACATTAATATATTACTACCCAAATCCAGTCAAGACAATAATTACTAACAAAATCTTGTAAATATATATGCTATAGAAACTGTAATTCCATAGTATTATGTACTAATAAATGATATTTATAATTAGGAAAAAGATTTTAAAACATTACTGCTTAATCAAATACTGCATACATTATCCGCCACCCGCGAGCCCCAAGGTGGTGGGACTCGGAAATGCCCCTCATCTTGCAGCTCACCATGCAATCATTGAATTCATTCACCACCTTGTTCTTGAAAATGTCTCTACATTTTATTTGAAAGTATTTGTGAATCACAACAATCCATTGATCCAAAAGAAGTTTTACACAAAATCTCAAGACTTACCTGGCACTTAGTCTCGTCAGGTTGATTGTTATAAGTTTGCAAGCACAAAGGATTTACAATGCATCAAGCAAGCTCCAATCTAGAGAGAGAGAAAAAACTTGTCTTTCTTGAAGAACAAAAGAGAAGAATAAAATTACCAGCAAAATACAGGAGCACATCTTGAGAGCATTGGCTGCAAATATGGGAGTTGTGAGCAAAATCACACCAACAAAAACCACAACTATATGTGTTCTCCAGTTCAAATGGTTTTCTAGCAAAAATTCCCTCTTCTCGATGGATTTTTTTATGATGGGCTTTCCACATTGCTTCCTGAAAAGATCTTGGCAATCTTGGGAGACGATCTTGAGAAGTATAACCTGGTTATAGTTTTTCTGTGGCTGCTTGATCGCCAATCTCTCAACAGCCCTCTTGCTCGAGCAATGCTGCTGCTGGGTGAGTCTAGTACCTGGAGTAGCACAAAATGCCCTTGCATTCATCGCCAAAATGGATAAAAAGAAAAAGAGAGAAAGATACATGGTCACCACATCTAGAACTCTTCCGAATTGGCACATTGTCATGAAATCCAGCACTTGCCTGAAGATCTTAAACATCTCCATGTTGAAGATTCTATTGCTATGGCCAATGAACACCGCATTTCAATCGAGCGGCAGGTCCGGATGCTGCAACACCTTGCTCCACCACTAGGAGGATGATTAGTCGAACACCCAAAAGCTAAGGTTTGCTTTTCTTTCATCCAGCCAACTAAATCATCTTTCTTTGTTGCTTTTACATTAAGTTTATGTAAAAGGGTTCCTTTGAGCTTGTGGCTTGCTCCTCCGATGGAATGGTTAGTCTATGGGAGTTTCCGCTAGTACTTTCAAAACAGTGGTGAAATTCCATGACACAAATGCTAACATGATCTCTTGGAACAAGCATGTGGTTCTCAAGAACAAACACTTCACTATCAAGTTCCCCAAATTCCCAGTTTCAAATGGCAGCTCGCCACTGGTGGTGAGTTCCAGTTGAGTGGCATGTCTAGATGCTGCAACACCTCACTCCACTACTAGAAGGATGATCAATCTTGCTCCAATCACCAAATCTTCCTTGCAACCTTGGTGCTCTAGTGATCTCAATACCCAGATGACAAGTGTAGCCATGGTCAACACATTTCCATGTGACACACATTGCCAGGCCTTCCTCTCCCGCCACATGTGGTTTGGCTGCCTCCCATTGGCTGGGAGCAAACATTAGCGCGATTATTCGTTAACATGTGATTACCGAAATAACCCCTTTATAGTTACCCCCATTGAACAGCTACAATTGGCTGGATCTAGCGGCCTAAAAAGTTTGGCAACTCCTCCTTATTATGATAGATTTTTATTAGTGGAGTAGTTATTAAAAATACTTGCTTTATAAATTTAGACTAATGATAGGTTGCAATCCTTATTGTGCATTTTTGCATCTGCAAAAATATCTTATTTTTAGTGGCTTATGAAACCTTGCAAATACTCTTCTTGTTGAGTAATCAAACTTCATTTGTGAGAAATATGTAAACAGAAGAAAAAAAATAAAATATGAAAAAAAAATCACAAACTTCTTGCTGGACATAAACAATCTCTCTTATAACCACATTCAGCCCATATGCAATTTTTCAATATATGTTTAGTATAAACAAAACCACTCTTAAGAAATTTAGAAAAAAAATACTGCTTTTTTTATGATATTTTTATTTTAGTTATGAGTCATTTCAATAAAGAATCTCAAGAACTTATAAATTATTACTCTTCCTTTATCATTTAAAAATCTCCTACTGCCTAATTCACTCATCTACTCTTAAAATCTATGATGTAGTGGCATTAAATAAATAAATAAATATAAAACAAATGAAGAAGTAGTTGATTAAATAAAATATATTTTATTATAGAGTAATTGATTGTATCTAACTCCTAAAACATTTCTCTCCTCTAAAGTATATACACAAGGGCTTTATAAATCAATAATAAACTTTTTGATAAAGAGGTAAATATTTTATCTTTGTGTATCATCCCAAGCAGAGCAAAAGAAGAAACTTTAGGTGAAATTGAGTTATAACTAAGCTTAGGCATCCAAAGAAGAAAGACTTGATCTATGCGAAAAGTAGTTAGAAACGGTTATAAAATCATATAGTATATAAGTAACATTTAGACATGCTGAAAAACAACCCCCACTCACTATTGTATGCATTTGAATTAACCATTTTTTCTTCTGTTTATGGATGTTTGTGCAAAGTAGAGTTGAGATAATAAGATATGCTTATCCTTATTTACGTATTTAGAATTCAAAATTGAATTCTCTTCTCATTCTTCATTTTTTTTTCTCTTCTTCTACATTTTTGTCTCTGTTTGTTTGTCACTATTTTGTAGGTAAGAGCAAGAATGTGAGTATAGGCAGAAAAAACCTTATTCACTTTTAATGACCACGGTGGGATAAACTATCACTCTTTGGCTTGAAAATAGTTTGAAAAAATTGCTTGTGAATTCTAAACTTACTTAGCACTAAGAATCACAAATAGATCTCTTTAATAATTGCAAAGGTCTTGAGTCTAGACAACATTGAACAAAACAGTTTTTTTAATGATTTTAGTGGCGTAGTGCCTAAATAATGTAAGAAATATAGTTTTTCAACTATCACCAAAGTCATAGAGTATAGGACAAGTTTGAAATTAGAGTACGATATGCATTGCCAAAAAACTCAAGTTTAAATTTTTTCACTAGCAATTTCTTGAGAAAAATACAAAAAGAAAAAGAAATGGACTTTGTTTGATATGGAAAACATGATTAATGTCGCAAATGTGACTTCAGATATCGAAAGTTACTTGTCGGCTATTCCTTTCGGATATTTTTTCTTTACTGCCACGACAGTAGGAGGATGGTATTGCTGGGCCCATTATTAATTCCCACTTGAGCTAGTTGAGAAACTGGTCAATGACCATGTACTTAGATAAACATAAAGTAGGAACCTTATGTGTTTCTTGCTGAGCATATTCGGCCTGGTTTGAGAAAATTGAGTCATTGGTTTGCACTTGCTAATATCAAGAACCCCCGCGATGTTGAAATTAGTCCCTCAATATTTGCTAGATAATAGTTTACCGTGTTTGCCAAACACCCTCGTTATCATGCCCTTTATGTTAGTTTCATTCCGGTCCCAAATGCTATTTATGGAAGTGTTTAAATTTGCTCATTTGGCATATTTATGGAATGTAGAGATTAGCTTGAACACAATGATGTTCATCCTGTGTCCAAATTCACAATCTAGAGCCATTTCATATTTAGTAAATTTCAAGTTTGTCCCAGAGACTAACTCCTGATACTAAGGGAGGCTTGGGGTGAAAGCCCAAAGCGTGTGTTCCTCAGGGGGGGGAGGGGGGGGGATATGGGGGGTTCCAAATGTATAGTAGGGATAGTGGGTAGGTCGGGCATGGTTGACCAACTTGAGGCATAGTTTAGCTCTTGCTTGCGTGCTTGTTCTTGTTCTGCGTCCGGCTTGGGTCTAAGCCTAAGTTCCATTCCATGCTAGTTGGTGGAGTACCTATGTCCTTGCATTAGGCCACCGGTATGCCGAAATAGCACCAGACTTTGTTTGGCTCCATTTTGCATGTTGGTCCTGGCATTCGGATGCTGGTTGCTCTAGGACTGTTCCAAGTCACTTCGGGCTCCTGTCCCTTTGCTCCTTGGGCTATATGCTTGGGAGTTGCTTTGTGGTTCACTTCCGTCACTCCTTGGCTCCATGCTTGGGAGTTTGGCATCGTTCCTTCGTTCAGTGGCCCAAGGCCTTGAACATTGGGTTCCACACCACTGTCCTTTGGACATGTGGCATATAACATGTGGCATGTGTCACGTGGCATAAAGAGGGTTTAGGTTCTGCTTTGTGGTGTTATCCTATAGTAAATCATTATAGGATAAAGGGTCAAAACCACGTGTGCTACATTTGGTATTAGAGAATGAGTCTCAATGAGTGCTATTCAATGAGATTGGGCAACTAGTCTCGTTGCATACGCAGAGATGAAAACGATGATCCGAGTGGGTACACGTTTGGGTGCAAAGGCTTCACAATTGTTCCTTGGGTATGGATTTGGTTACCTTTTTGTACCGTAATAATGTGAGCTTGCTCTTAGGCTCATGAGAGGGATTGAGTTATTCCACTTGCACAAGTTTGCACTTGGGCTCGTGAGTGAGGCACATTATTAATTCAAGATTACACTTTGAGTTGGTAAGATGGATTTGAAGTGTACCATTTTGCATGAGTTTATGCTTGGGCTTGTGAATGGGGCACATTAGCAACTCAAGGTTGCACTTTGAGTTAGCAAGATTAATGTTAACCTATCAGTGGTTCCATGAGCTGTTTCAATAGTTCCATGAGTGTTTCCAAGTACCATAGGTGAAAGTAAACCTTCCCTGGGTTTACTATGAGTGGCAAATAGGCTGGTCTGTAGCTGTTTAGCACAGCACTAGTGGATCCTTCCTAGGCATGAATACAAGTGAATCAATCAAGACTATAGGGATGAGTCTATTGATTCAAGTAATCATTGCTATACTCTCTCATAAACTTTTCTTGGATTGGATTAAAGGCAGTGCAAAAGCAAGCTTGAGATTTGATAAAAAATGAGACCAAAAAGAGAGTCGTCAAGGACGAAGGATCAAATACGTAAATCATTTTCTCTTCTTGGAGAGATAATTTGCAATGAGGCGTGATTCATTGCTCGTGTTCACATTATACAATCAAGAGTCTCTACCTTGATGCATGTTGAAAATGATGGTCTTGTAAATGGTGAGTCATGGGATGAATAGTGGTGAAGCGTTAAACCATTTTTTTTTAAGCTTGCTATTGAAAACTTGGGTTGCAATGCTCAATTCTTTTCTAGGGAACCTTGCTATTGCTCCTTAAGTAGCTTGGTGTTGGATTAATTTTGAGTTTGGTTGGAAAGAGAGTGGCATAAGCTTGCCTATGTTGTGAACAAAAGTTAGTAGTGTTAAGTGTTGTAAATCTCTATTGATGGGGTGTGGCATTTATGTTGCATTTTGTCAAATTGAGTTAGCACTTGATATTCACGTAAACCTTTGAAGTAGTGATATAGGCATTGCTTGTGGTGTTGCTCAATTGATGATTAAATCATTGTGATTATTATATCATATTCATGTGATAGTGAGCAATGTGTTTACGAAATTGCTTGGTTAAACGATGATCAACCCCAAAGTGATTGATAGTGAAGCTAGTCTACTTACACGTAGTAGCATTGTAGTAGATTTGACTGGATTCCTGATGGTGGTCCATTATGCTAAGCATAAGTTGGTTCCTTGTTCCTTGAGAGTTTGTCCATTGAGATGTTTGAAAAAGTTATAGCACTCATTTGTTATAGTTTGTTGGCTGATCCGTTAGTACTTGGAGTAAATTGTTGGATGGAGAAAGTGTGTAGTTGAGACATTAACATTACTAGCACTTGTGTTAGTGGAAGTGGCATTGTTATTTTGAGTGATGAGGAATTTTCTTTAGAGTTTAATTTTCCATGTCATTTTTCTTGTTAGTGTTTTGGCTTCACATTGTATCTTGAAAGTGATTGAAGAAGGGTGTTAGTGCAATTTGGATATCCAAAGATATGGTCTTCATGATCAAGCCTTGGATGTTCATTTTGCATTTTTGCGGATATCGGAGTTGGATGTCGGAAGTATGGGCAAAAAGATGTTTGAGCTTAAGTATACTATGGGTCTTGAAAATTTATGTTAAGGTGAACCTATGTGAAGTTGTTAGTAGGAGGAAGTCAGTTGAGTCTTGAAAGTTTGTACTCCTAGACTGAGAGTCATTTTTTCTTTAGGATGGAAATTTTCCACAAATTTTCTTAGGCTTTTCCAATGGCTGATCTATTGATCATTTGCCCGAAAACCATTCCATTTTCGTAAGCTAATACAAACTAGTGAAGGGGTTGGAGTTGACTTTAATTAGCTTAGACTTTAGTATATAATTTGTATGATGCGGCCCAAAAGAGATGCTGACTTTTGGGGCTAAGGCAATTGAGTTGGATAGAGTCTAGAGTTGGTATAGAAAAGTGGCCATTGCACTTTTCTAAGAAGGGTGACCCTTATGCCTTTCTTCTGTAGTGTTATGCTCAGTGGCAGATTACACTTTGTATTTCGTTAAGACTCTATGAGAGTAGTAAGCTTTCACTGATCTTGACTTAGTCTTGGTAGCCCTATGCCTTGG